CATTTAAAAGGTAAAAATAACATAAATTTTTTAAGTCCATAAGTACTTTTTGGTTTCTTACTACTCTAGTTCCTGTCTCTTAGCTGTTTCTAAGGTTTTGGCAGGACTACTTCTTGTTCTTTTCTTATAGCTTACTATTTTGGAACACTAATTGCAAGAAATTTCTCTCAAATTGCAAAGATAAAAGAAGAATATTTCTAATATTGGAATTCTTTGAAAACAAAAAAGTGATACCATTTTGGTTGAAATCCTAGAGCTAAGTTTTGGGGTGTATAGATATATATTCTGTGTGTAATATTCTTAGACAATTACAAGGAAAATTTGAGGAGAAAGGCTTGGAAAATGCCATTTTGGTGCTAGAAGCCACGTGATTTGGGTTGATTATTACTATAAGACAACAAAAAGATGTCCTCATCTCAATTGTCAAATAACAAAATCTTGAAACTTTCAATTAAATGTATATAGAGTTTGAATTTGAAGATATTTAGAGGAAAATTTGAGAAAAAAAGAAGAATATGATCTCGTTTTGTACAACATTTCATTAGTTGGGAAAAAAATAAAAGACAATAGAAAGATTTTACCTTGAGTTTATATAGAAAAATTGGAGACCTAAAACATTGATTGTGTTTCTTTGAGTGAGTTATTCAGTAGCCTTACCTAGAAAACCAAGCACCTACACCTTTTGTATCATGAATAACTTATATGAAAAACCTTTTTGCTCTAGACTTGCACTGCCTTGTTTGGATTCCTCTAATGTCAGCATCAAATGAGACAAAAGACAATGGCACCGTTTTTTGGGGATTAAGATATGAGCCTCCTCAATACGACATGTTGGAATTCATCCCACAGAAAAATTGGATTGCATGGTAGAAAAAGTGCCATATATTGTGACTTTTGTTAAAATACACAAGGGAACAAGTGTTAACCTGAGGTTGCATCTATTAATATTAAATAAATGTTCATCTAATGAGTCAGGTTTAAGTTTTGGGATTCAAATAAAAATTGAAATTGTCTTGGTAACTAAGTTAGTACTGATTGGGTCAAGAGGTAGCATCTGTTTGTAACAAAAAAAAAAGGGTGTCTTAGAGGTTCATTAAAGTGATTTAAAAAATAAATGGGTAATTAATTTACAATGGCAATGACAATAATAGAGATTAGAGAGAGAATTAAGGGCAATATCTTGATGTGGTCAATTTTGAACAGTGTAGATATATATATTTATATAAAGCCAAAGAAAACCAGGTTCCAATGTTAGTCCTGTGTCAGCTACAAAGACTCATCTTCTCCACCAGAAATGAAGCAGAATTTCCCTGCTTTTTGTCCTCCTCTAGTCATGGCAGATTCCTGATTTTCTCTTCACCAAAAAAACAAGCCACAACTTTTCATCTTACTCCCCCACTTCAACATCAAGAAGAAAAGAAACAATACAATTTGGGGGCAAAAAAAAGAAGAAAAAGGACAGACGACCAAGCTTTGTGTATTTCAAATGTCAAAAATCTCAGGGGATGATGGCAGTTTCTCCTCAGGAGAAGAAGTCCAACAACTTCTTCAAAAGAAACAAAAGCTTCAGAATCACCCCCATAGCTCCTCCGGCACCGGTGCCGCGGGACCTTCTACTGCCTCTAAAAGCAATGATTCATCCTCCCAACAGCCGCAGCAGCCACCAGTTAAGAAGAAAAGAAATCTCCCAGGAACTCCAGGCAAATTCACTCACCCCCATCATGTTTATTTATTTATTTATTTTTTTCAGTTCTTATCCATAGAGTCATAACGTGTTTCATGATCTTAGAAATTGAATTGTTATCTATTAACCAATAATATTAATTTATTTTTTTAAAAAAAAATTTATGTTTAATTAAAAGGTTCAATTATTGCTAAGATATTACAATAATTGACATGGACTGTTTGCTTGATTAATTTTTTCACTTTTCATTTTGTATAGTAATTTAATCAAATATGTATGAACAGATCCAAATGCTGAAGTTGTAGCTCTATCTCCAACAACCTTAATGGCAACGAACAGGTTCGTGTGTGAGATATGCAACAAGGGATTCCAGAGGGACCAGAATTTGCAGTTGCATCGAAGAGGTCATAATCTTCCATGGAAGCTGAGACAAAGAACCACCACGGAGGTTAAAAAGCGAGTCTACATATGTCCTGAACCTTCTTGTGTCCACCACAACCCAGCTCGTGCCCTGGGAGACCTTACAGGAATCAAGAAGCATTTTAGCCGGAAACATGGCGAAAAGAAATGGAAATGTGACAAGTGCTCCAAGAAATATGCAGTTCAGTCTGATCGGAAAGCTCATCAAAAAACTTGTGGCACTAGGGAATATAAATGTGATTGTGGAACAATCTTTTCCAGGTATATTGATAGTTTGTTATATACAATTAGATGATATTTTAAGTCAGTTTACGCGTATCAGATTAAGTATATTTCTTAAATCATAAAAAAAAAAGAAAAGAGAAGACTATTCTTACAAATTTTAAAGAAGAAATGTTACGCAATGGCCGACATTTGTTAGACCCTTTCACATTTTCTTTTTGACAAATCATATACCATATATGTCTCTTTCCGGATTACACATCAAATACAGTTCCCTAATTATGTAGATTTAATTTCATCATTTTCATGATTGTCTCCTTGAGCAGGAGAGACAGCTTCATCACCCACAGAGCTTTCTGTGATGCATTAGCTGAAGAAAAAACCAAGGTAAATCAAGGATTAATGGATAACAACATGGGATCCGAACTCATGAACAATCCCACAAACAATACTTCCATCGGAGGAATTTCCGACTTCAACAGTTTAAACCCTCTCAAATCCCTCCAGCAGGAGCTAGTTCCAATTCCGTTTAAGTCCATGAGCGTTGGTGGAGGAGCAGGAGGCATGTTTTCCAGCAGCTCCGGTGCTCTGTTTGGCAGTCCGCGAAACATGTCCCCGTCGTCCGCCGCCAGCCTCCAGCTCAGTCCCAACACCTCACCTGGATTTAATTACCTTCAGGACAGCAAAAATGGATTGCAGATTTCGGGGTCGGCGCACGTGTCTGCGACTGCCCTGTTGCAGAAAGCAACCCAGATGGGTGCAACGGTGAGTAACAGCATAAATTCGCCCGTGATGCAGAAAGGCTTCGGCAGTCCCATGGCGGGTCACGACTCCATTAGATCACTGTGTTTTGGCGCAATTCAGCCGCAGGGTAATCCATTCGACCACTTCACATCACCGGCTGATCAATCAAACATGGTGGGGATTGGCGACGGAGGATTCTCCAATCCGATCATGGAAAAGGGTCCACAAGAAATGCCCCATGGGTCCCATCTCTTTCAAGCTGCAACAGGAGGTTCGTCCATCAATGATATGGGTATGATTACGAGCATGTTCATCACGAGCCGGGACCAAACCACAATGGAAAGGGACTTAACAGGGCAGAGTAACATGGCTAATTTGCATGACTTCATGGGGATTGGAGGGCAAAGGGGGGCACATTTGCATGAGCAACAGCAGCAACAGAGATTGGAACTTGAAGTAATGAGCCAGCAGCAGAGGTTTATGAACCATTTCCAGCACCAGCTCTCACATGGGGATTCAGCAATCGAAAAGCCCCTTTGGGATGTTTGACACTTTGAGATGGGGAGATGGTGCTGTCCCCAATCCATTGGAAAATTCTTGCCATTTGTGGCATGAATTGTTGCAAATGGGGTTCTTGGGGTCTAGGGTCTAGACCCACTTGGAAACAGGGTCCTGAATTCTTGAATTTGGGGCTGACCCTCATCTTGCATGAACCAGTGGGAACTTCATCCGATTGTTGAATACATAAAGAAGTAGAGGATGTGAACTAGATACTATTTCTTCATCAAAGGAAATATGATACTATGTCTTTATTGCTCTATTATAGTTTTATAGAGCTAAGATTATCCATCAAAGGACCTCTTTTTCCTCTTATTATCCTTTCTCATTTTCTAACTTAACCACTCAGATATTAGTTAATTTGAATTCAAGCTTTTTGTTTAAACTAAAAGAAAATAATTATTATTAGGTCTCTTAAATTTTTATCTTTACAGTTGTGTTTTTTAATATGACACGCTAAAAAAATTACTATCCAAGCAGGAAAAAAAAAAAACCAAATAATCAAATACCTGCATTAGGTCAGTCCAATTGAAAAGTTCTTTGTGTTAAATTAAATAAGGAAAGAGATGAAAACACGTTTTCATGAGAAAAAAAAAAAAATGGGACTGGACTTGCACAAATATTTTGGATCTTGCAATAGGATGAAGGGGAAGTCCAATAACATTTAATAAGGCCTTCAAAAATCAAAAGCCCAAATACCGACAATGGCAGTTTCTTAAAAGCCCAAACAAGCTTGTCCTCCCAAAATTACAAACCCCATAAACCCTAACCCTAATTTAGACGCAGGCAGCCCGCAGCCTTCATCTTCTTCCTATATATTTGCTGCAATATCCCTAACTCCACTGCTCGAAGTCGCCTCCGGCGTCATTGCCGATGCGGTTTCCTTATTCTTTTCGGCTCTTTTTGTTTTTTTTTTTTTCTTGTGCTGAATATGCATAGATCGGAGAAGCGATGGAAGGGGTGGGTCAAGGCGGTGATGTTGAGAACTACCTATTTTATGATCTTCTATGATTATAAAATCACCAATGGATCCTTCTGAGCCTTCTTCCCTCTCCTCCTTCGCCATTTTCTTCTCCTTAAAATTTTGATTCTTTTTGCTTCTTTTTTTTTTTTAATTAGTATTTCAAATATTGGAGCCATTGATGTGATGATACCGTCGTCGGAAAATATTATGTCGACGTAAACAATCAGACTACAATTATCTGATCAATCGGCTACATAATTGTTCTTCAAAGTCGCAAACTTTTTCAAAATACAAATTGAACTTCTCCGGCTTTCTTTCTCTTTTTATTAGGATTCCAATATCAGGGGCCGACTCATTAAACTGATGTTGTGCAGCCCAGATATTGCCCAAATTGATTCATATATTACAGTAAAATCTTATCAAAAAAAGTGTATTTCAAGACCACTTACAAGAAAAAGTGCAGAAATGCCTGAATCTTCCTTTCCATAGGCATTCCTGCATTTTTTTTTTTCTTGTATTTTTTCTTATAGATTGACTTGAAAATCCGGAACCCCAATTCTTATGATTGTCATGAAACATCAACTGAATTAGTTCTTAATTAACTTTTGTTAGAAACAAAAAATTAGTACTGTATACTTGTTGGCTTGCACCCACACTGGATTTATCAAAATCCTTAATTATTCCTGTGCATTCCAGCCAAAAACAATGGAAGTGTGTATGCTTTCTTCCAGATTTGTTGGAACCTGGAAGCCTAATACTGCTGTATTAATATGAGAATGTTTTGTTGGGGTATTTCCTAACTATTGAAATCTCACCATACATAGTTAAACTGTGGCATCGGGTTCCCTAATCTTAGCTGAATGTTGACATGAAAGATGTTTGGAGCTGTCTTCATAATCTCCTTTTCTGCTTCCTTTGCCAGTTTTATTGCATCCCTGCAAAGGAGCATGGAATTCAGCATTAGAGGGACTGATAAATGTGATTATGAAAAAAAACAAATGAATGGGTCAAAATCATATGCTTGGGTTCAATGAAATGAGTGCATACCGGATTGTCATCTCTGGAGGCATGTTAACCTCAACTTGGAGTAAAACCTTGCCTTGCAACAAGTGATGTGTTATGCGCTCAATCACCATTTTCTGAAATTCATCCAAGCTCATGAGAGAACAAAGTGTTTGTGGATGGAAGAGCCAAGATACAACAACAATTTAACCCCTTCTAATTCTAACTAGTCTATCCCTTTGAGTAATTAGTTAATTACTCAGTGGACCAATTCCAACTCTAGGGACCATGGCATCCAGTTAAAAGCAGAGGATCTCAGGACATCTGAAATTCGCATCGAACCAAAAGGAAAATTTGGAGATGGATGTGGATGGAGCAAATGAAAAGAAAATATCGTGATAAATAATATGAATTCATCAACTTTAGGAATATTTTTAACGCTAAAAAGCAATATAGAGTTCAGCCATTGAGCCTTCATTGAACCCTCTATCTAAGCTATCAATTAACAATTCACTGACTAGTTGAGAAAGGTACCTCAGCAAACTTTGATGAGAATATGTCAGAAACAATTGCCTCAAGATTTTCATCTTCTGCAGGAATGTTCCTTTTCTGGTCCCAGATTTCCTTGAAATTTCCATGCTGTTCCATTATGTTGGGAGAAGAAAATTCTATAAATGCAGGATCTGCAATATAATTTTGGTCATACTTGTACCCCTATTTTACGAGTGCTAAAATTTCAAAGCTCAGTGTTATCTATCACTATCAATATAAAGGGATAAAATCATTTAAATTACCTATGTGTATGAAAACTTCTGATACTTCAGGATGGGACTTGTGAATTTGATGACGAACATTCTCACCTATACCATGCGCAGCACTAACACTAGAAAATGGGTCGACCTAAAAAGGTAAATGAATAAAGCAATTCCATGAGGTAAAAATCACAGAGGATGCCTAATTATCTCATTTAGAATGTACTTTTGTGGTCAAACAGAAGACATACAGCACAACATATTAAACTATGCATTTTGTGGTGGGATCTTACCACAATATGTACATCAAGGTACAGGTTCGAACCAGCTCTCCTTCCTCTCAAGCGATGACATCCCTGCAGATTGTAAGAATTCATAAGCAAGAATTCCAGTGACTGAAATTCTAAATTGCATCAGCAGCAACAAGCCAACTGATGATGCCATGACAGTATGAAAAACTGGTGCATATAAAATGATGAAAAGACAGCCTCATGGCTGGACTTATAGCTTTTAGTCTCATACCTTGACTCCTTCAACTTGTAGAATTGTTTGTTTCATGGGATCCAACTGCTGAGCAGGTATTGCAGCATCAACCAGCTCCAAGACGCTACAAAGTCATCCCAAAGATAGTTTTAACTTATGAGGATATATACACAAGTGCCAATGGCTGTTTCAAAAAAATTAAAACTACACTTCAAATCTAGATGGCATGGTAGTCAGGCTTCAAAAGAAACAACAGACTACATGGGAGTAGAAATTAGAGGCTAGATATTATGTGAGTCAACCATTTGCTGGTAGTTTGCAACGACATGATTTTCTTACAAAGAAAAATGAGTATCATAAATTACCAGGTCAAGCCACAGCATCTGGAATGCCTTAAGAAATATGGCTATAATAACTAAGCTTTTAAATATCCAATCAATCAAGAAGGCATGAGCACAATGACACAAACCCCTGAGAAATACAATGTAATGAGACTGAAACAACAAAGAAAAAAATAAAAGCAGAGATTCTGGAACTTAAATTGATAATATGTTAGCCTATTTCCATATATATTGTTGCCGTTTGACCTTTTCATTGCAAAATAGAGGTAGTTATTTTCAGCCACATTAGACCCTTCTAAAAGTATAAAGAAAGCATAGAACTAATGGTGCATATAAAAAAGATAACAGAAGATGCACCTCTGGTACCCAGATTCCAGACCAGCTTTCAAAATCATTCCAGAGACAACAAGTCCAGCAAGAGGATCTAGAAACTTGACTCCAAGAAGAGACCCTCCTAAAGCACAATAGATAGAACTTGGTCAGTTGAGCATGATGCCTAGTTTAATAATTTTTAAAATGAAGCATGTACTTATTCTAAAAAATTTTTTAAAAAAAAAATTTTAAAAAAAGGAAGAAGAAGAAGAAGAAGAAGGAGCATGTAGTCATCTAAACAAAGCACTGAAACTGAACTTAAAAGTCCACAAGCTTGATACTTTTTTGAAATTAATAGCTGAATCAAGCTTTAGTATATTCTAACAAACAATGGCCTGACTAAAATGAATGAAGATTAAATGTGAAGAAAAGAAATTACAAGAAGCAGGGAAAGCAAACATACCAACCCCAATAAGTGCAACTACAGATGAAATTGCATCTGCACGATGATGCCATGCATTTGCCTTCATCAGTCCACTGTTTTGCCTTTCCCCAGCTCGTTTTGTTATCCAGTAAAGCCTATTTTTCCATTTTAGAAAGCAGTCTAACCATCACTATCAGAGCATGATCATATAGAAGACTTGAAAACTACATGGAACGAATTACAATAGGCATATGCTGTAAACAGAATGATAGAAAGCTCAGCCTATGTCAACTTGTCAAGTGCAAAAGGAACCAAATAACACCTGAATAAAGTATCAAGATGGAAGTTGAAGGCTTGAGAAGCATAAGAGGAAAACCACATGAAAGGAAAATGACACAATATTCACATAACAACTCCTAATATTTCTGAGAAGGGTTAATTAGACCAATTTACAGGTCAAGCTGAAAATGACCACAAAGCAGCAGCATGTACATAAACAAAATTAAAAAAAGAGAGAAGCTCTGGAGAAAGTGAAGAAGAATAAGATAAAGTAAGTGGAGTACCCTTCTTTAACGAATATTGATACAATAGTCATACTCAAAGCTAGTAATGGGTGATCCATATCAATTCCATGATGATGGCTGTGGGCATGCCCATGAGTTAATGAATGGTTAACTACTTCAGGATTGGTGGAAAAGAACTCCTGCACATGAAAAAGGTCCATTTCTAACATGGAATTTAATTTCATTTCAGGCACAAAAAATTTCCCAAATTATGTAGAACTGGAAATATGTTTGACTACATTGATTTTGAGATGAAGGGAATCACATGGAACCAAATCTAAAATCTGGTGTTATCTTTAAATCATTTAAAAGTAGAAAAGAGAAATCAGCAGTCATACAAGTAAAAGTTGCAGAGCATGCCATGCAATACCACCAGAAGTTGCCAAAAGCATAGCAGAGATTCCAAGGGCTCCGAGGGTTTCAAATTTACCATGCCCTGAGAATAAAATAAGGAAAAAAAAAATAATGAAAAGTTGAAAGTCTTTAGACATTTCAACAAAGTCCAACTTCCATGATTCATTGCTAATAAGAATTCAAGATAAAACATACAAAGATTTGACATTGACCGGTTCAATTATAAGAGTTCAAACCACAGATTGAACAGTTTCCTTAAATCCAGAACTCTAATCTTTCAGAGATATTCCTTCCTTCACTCATGATTAAAAAAGCCAATATCAACCCATAAAAACATGGGAGAACCAACAAATTATAATTTTCCAATGCCATGTGACAATCAGCCCAGTCCAAATTAGAGGAAAAAAGACACACGCCCTGACCTTTCTAAGTTCCTATATCAGAATGCTTGTAAGAGATATAAAAGACAACCAAACCAAAAGTTAAAACTAAAACTCTAAGGACATCATTATCTTCAGAACACAGCTGAAATATGATTTAACATGATCACCTTGGACAGTAAATTTCTTCCCTAACCTTTCATAACCTTTCAATCTCAAAGTCGCCAGAACTTGAGTGAAACAAGTTCTCAGATAGACAGTTTAACAACTTTCATTTTACTATAAGAATGAATAGTATCTGTTAAGAAATGCCTAAACCAATCTGTTCCTAATGCTACAGCTGACCCCTCATGTTCAAAGAGGTATATGAATGGAATTTTGAAGGAGTATTCATGAATTGTAAAGAAATCAGTTGCTATGAAAGACAGGCATATATGAAATTAATGGAGTGGCGTGTAGGTACAAATCAAAAGTGACCATATGGGTGTTCTTTGTCTTTAGGAGTGTTCGCAGCTTTGAACGACAACAAAGCAACCCCACTTAGAACCTGCAATAGAAGAACCAATTTCTATTAAAAGACATTCTTTTCTATGAACTTCCACCAAATTTAATTGCTTTCTTCTTTATAATCAACGCTCACATCCCCAGTGAGCGTGAATTTAAACATTACCACGTCGGATATAGAATGCGCAGCATCAGCGATGATGGCAGTGCTTCCAGATAAATAGCCAGTCAGAGCTTTGCCAGTAGCTAATCCAATATCGGCAGCAAGACCCAGACGGAAAATCTTCTCTGCTTCGTTGGACAATTGGTGAAGGTGGTGCTGTTGGCCGTTGGGGCCATGAGAATGACCCAAATGCAACCTTCTGGAGATCAAGTAATTGGGGTTGTCAGAGAAGACTGAATCCTTGTGATACAGGATTAATCCGGAATTCAGGGAGTGAATTATGGGGTTGGGGCGCAAGTTTCTGGCAGAAGAAACTCTTGAGAGGTAAGATCTGAAGATGGGATTTAGATTGTAGAATCTGAATCCCATTATTGCCTCAGCCTGCTGGAAGAAGAAGAAGAAGAAGAAGGCGACCTGAGCATTCGGAATAACAGATCATTTATATGAAAAATTCCCCGGTAAAAAGAGAAAAGGGAAAAAGGGGAAATTGCAGGCAGCACCCATGTGGGTTTGCCGTGGATGCTAAATTGCTCACGAAAATTATATGGTTACAGTAGGGGTTTTTCCACTTTTTTTTTTTAAATTAAAAATTTAAAAACAATATTTATATTTATTTATAATATCTTTA